GGGGAGGGGCTGGATTCCCCCCCCCCCGCTCCGATCTGCCAGCACTGACTGGCGGATCGGACGGGGGAGGGGGCGGGTACAGCTGGCTCTGCCTCTAGATAGGCAGAGCCAGCTGTCACGCAGCTGGGCGGATCTCGAGGTCGGGATCCGCTCCGGCTGCGGCGTCTCAGTATAGCTCGCGGTATAATGAGCTTAGGGTAACGGGAGGACGCTAGTTTGTGTCCTCCCGTTACCCTAAGGAGAACTATGGGGAAAAACACTGACCCCATAGTTCTCCTTTAAGCGCCAGGGACCAGTTGCAGCTGCAAACGCTGCACCCTGGTATTTCTGCCGCTGACTCCAAGCTGTAGAGGGGCTACAAATCTCAGCAATATATTATACAGCAATGCAGATTTGAAAAATGAAAGCGCCAGTGTCGTTTTTTTGGTATCATTGCATTTTCACGAGTACTCATGAAAATGTCCAGTACCGGCACCAATACCAGTACTGGTATTGGTATCGGTGCATCCCTAGTTCAAACCAAATAAATAACAGTTGACTGGTGTAAGCACCCCCGCCAGTTTAATATGGTTTAGCCTGTGAAAGGAAAGTGGTAACATAACAGATCTACTGGCAGGATCAGCTGGTAATATAACAATATTATAGGGGGACACAGAAAAACAAAATCTGCTGTGTTAATGCTTTATAAAAAAAAATGTAATTTCTATTTTCCTTGACTCTGAATTCTGAATGGATGTCTCCTTTTTTTTTTTTTTTAGGCCTCTGCCAATCAGAGAGCAGGTAGAGCTGGCCGTGTGGCTGCAGGGAAATGTTTCCGGCTCTATACAGCCTGGGCATATAAGAATGAGATGGAAGAGACATCAGTGCCGGAAATCCAGAGGACTAACCTGGGGAACGTGGTGTTGTTGCTGAAGAGCTTAGGTGAGCCAGGCTTAGAAGTGGTAATATTACAGCGGAATAATAATGGTGTTATAAAGGTGAAAAGCGCACGGTGGTGGATTTTTCATGGATAACAATAGAAGCTGGCAGGAGCATATACAGTATAACTATCCTGGTATCCTTTTTTCCAGTATGGCCATCCTCCCATTCCTCAGATGCATAGATTGTACAATGAGATTGTAACGTGTGGCCAGCTTTTACAGAGATTGGACAGACTGTATAATATGCCTTCGGATTTACATCTGTGGTCTCTCACCTCTTGTATGTAGCCTTTCATATGTGTTCATCTCCAGCCACTGACTAGCCTTCTGTATCCCCTCCAGGTATCAATGATCTCATCCACTTTGACTTCATGGATCCTCCTCCTCATGAGACGTTGGTTCTGGCTTTGGAGCAGCTGTATGCCTTGGGAGCCCTTAACCATATGGGCGAGCTCACTAAGGTTAGAATGGAAACAAGCGTTTATTTTAGGTCTCATGTAGGAGAAAAAAAACAGTTTAAAACATTAATGTACATCTATGTCTCATTAGGGAGATTTCCTTCCACTTCCTGTACTGTAGACTCAACAGGAAGTGAGAGGATATCTTTCAAATATGTGGGCCTTTCTTTTTCCATTCTGACACTCTTTGTAAAGAAACCCTGTCATTTTCTGAAGTTTTGTCTTTTGTTATACCTTCTGTTTCTCCCTGCAGCTGGGAAGGAGAATGGCTGAGCTCCCAGTGGACCCCATGTTATCCAAGATGATTCTGGCTTCTGAGAAGTGAGTCATTTGTACTGTTTTCTCCTTGCTGGTTTCTGCACCACCTGGCTTTCTTTAAACCCAAATATTTATAACAGACTAGGGATGCCCCGATATTGGTATTTCGGTATCAAGTAGGAGTGCCGATTATTTTTTTTCCGGTACTCGCCGATACCGAATACCGATACTGGAAGTCCCATTAAGGAAACCAGGCGGCGTGTAATGACTCGCCACCTGGCCAATCAGAAGGCCGGGCAGCGTGTAATGACCTGGGCGTGTAATGAGCCGGCTTCATGCTCCCTCGCCACCTCAAGCTGGCTTCCCAGCCAATCAGGAAGCCGGGGCGCCGCGTCATTACACGGCGCCCAGCTTCCCGATTAGCAGAGACGCCGTCCCCATGCTTCTCGTCACTATGTGACGAGTAAGCAAGGAGCCGGCTTTCCGGCCAATTACACGGTGCCCAGCTTCCCGATTGGCCGGAAAGCCTGTGCTAGGTCGCTTTGTTGTATTGCAATACATTTTTTTGCAAGTGTGCCTCAGCCACTTCCTGTAACAGGGTGACAATGGTACCATTCTAGGCTTTGTATGCGGGAGCAGTGCTGTCACCTGAACACTCCCACAGTGCACTACAGAATGACATGCCTGCACATCCACTCTCAGCTGCCCTCTGCTTTATATCTACATGTCTTGTTATACTAATTGTGCGCACGGCACTGCAGATGAAAATGGATAAAAAGTAATAAACCATATTTTCAAACTAAACATTTCCTTTTACGACATCATGAGGATGAAAGAATATACTTTGGGGGTTTCATTATACTGTTTCAGCTTCGTCGGCTACACATTCGCTGTCTAGACATCTTTGTTACCTATACAGCTTTAATGCCACGCTAAGACTAAAAAATGCCCTGTGTGTAGCCATCTTTAAAATACTTTTGCTATTCTTCTAATTCCTCTGTACTGCATTCTTGTTTTACTAAAATGTTATTGTCTTTAAAGGAGAACTATGAGGTGAGTGCTTTTCACTCGCCTCATATTTCTAGCCGACCTGTGACAAAGAGACTGTCACAGGTCGGCTCAGTAGATCGGGAGGTGAGCGAACACATACCGGCGTTCGCTCACCTCTCAATCCTGTCATGGCTCTCTGCCGTGACAGGGGAGGGGCTGGATTCCCCGCTCCGCCAACGCTGACTGGCAGAACGGACGGGGGAGGGGGCGGGTACAGCTGGCTCTGCCTCTAGATAGGCAGAGCCAGCTGTCAGTCACGCAGCTGGGCGGATCCCGGCATAATCTACCCCACACTTACCTGTCAGCTGCGCTCGTCCCCGCCGCCGGTCCCGAAGCGATCCTCTGTACCCCGAACCTCCGGTTTGCGGGGGGAGGATACTGATGGTAGAGGAGCCATAGGCGACCAAAGCCACCCTGGGCCATCTCCGCACAGGGTAGAGCCCCCAGGGGGCAATCCAGATCCTTTGCACTGCATATTTAATGGGGGGGGGGTCGTGGCAGAGCTCATGTCCGAATAGAAATCGAAGCCTTTTGTGTAGCATGTGCAAAACAATTTGCAGAATGGTAAAAAGATTGCAGGCAATTGAGGAGTGCTATCATTTTTTAATGTGACATGTTCTCTTTATGTACATCATTTTATCACAACCATGATGCGCTTGTAGTCAAATATCTCTTGAGCTGCACTCCCCGTTTTCATGTTAGCCATTTCCTCTTGCTACCATTTTGCTTCTGTTCTACGAATGATTACATAGGTTTATTTTTTCCTCATTATGAAGGTACGGCTGCTCGGAGCAAATTCTCACCATTGCCGCCATGTTGTCTGTGAATAACTCGATTTTCTATAGACCGAAAGACAAAGTAGTCCATGCAGATACAGCACGTGCCAACTTCACTGTTCCTGGGGGAGACCACATGGTGCTGCTCAATGTGTATACCCAGGTAAGTGTGCCATATGTACTTGTTTGCATATGGAGGAGGAGGAGGAAGTACAGCTTATAGCACACCATTCAGATGCTGGCTTTCTTGGAAAATTCACTGGAGGATACAGCAGACCTCACGGACCCTAGGGGGGTAGGACACTAAAGCAAATGTGCATTCTTCTCCCTTGTAGGCTACACTACTCTGCACACCAAGGCCATGCGTTAATCGATTAAGACATGGCCTTGGTGTTAAGAGGCCCGAATGTTTTTAGCACTTCCTACAGTTTTAGTTTAGTATCCCAGGAGGTAGAACATCAAGTTCTCTCTTGCTTTAAAAACTGTGTTTTTTCCTCTCATCCATTGAGGTACACAGGTAGTCTATACTTTAAGGCAGGGCTCAAAATTTCAGGTCCTGAGCTACTAGCCAGGCCTTAAAAGTTACTCGCCACCAGTAGTCCTGCATAACACAAATACACACAGGGAACAATCCGCGCCAACACAACGCACAGTACATTACACATACAGCCACAGTACAACGCACAGGACATTACACATACAGCCAGAGCACAACGCACAGGACATTACACATACAGCCAGAGCAACGCATAGGACATTACACATACAGCCACAGCACAACGCACAGAGCGTTGTGCTGAGGCTGTCATGAGATGACGAGGGAGCATGAAGCCGGCTTCCCGGCCAATCAGAATGCCGGGCGCTGCGTCATTACACGGTGCCCAGTTCCCTGATTGGCCAGCTTCTTGACCAATCAGGAAGACGGGCAGCTTGTCATTGCACGCTGCCCGGCTTCCTGATTGGCCGGGAAGTCGGCTCCATGCTCTCTCATCACAAGTGACAATCGGGAAACCGGGCAGCGTGTAATGAAACGTTGCCCGGCTTCCTGATACAGGAAGTATCGGGCTAGGCATCGGAGCATTTGGGCGAGTACGAGTACTCGGCCAAATACTCGGTATCGGTGCATTCCTAGTCATTAAGTTGCTCCGCACTAAAATGCACAGCATTGCAGAACTGCACTTTCTGGTACAGGCAATCAAACTGTGGTGGGTAGGTGCTTCAAATGAATGGCAATGCATATCCCACACCAGAACACACGGTAGGTGTAATTGCGTGGTACAGTCCGTTAAAGGCGTAATTGAGCGGTATAGTGAATTAATCACATGGGACTGTGCGATTAACACACTGTACTAGTGTGAACATGCCCTCGAAAACACTGACAGACTCGCACAACCACAGACACAATCTCACACACTCACAGACATTCTCGTACACACATTAATTTTTTTGTTCTTTCTTTTAAGATCCACCTATTCTTCTTACCTTGCAAAACAAGAACTGGATTGGATCCTCAGCCTGGGGTCCAATGTGGACTGCTGTGCTCTGATGGAGCTCCATGCATATGTGCATTGCTGGTACAGCTCCCTTGTGCACCCTGTAGAGGTGCCGGTAGCCAGAATGTGACATTACTCCAATCCATGCACCTCTACAGGGCATGCGAGGGAGCTGTAAGCAATGCACTTATGGATGGAGCTCCCTCACGGCCCACTCCACCTCATGCTAAGCAGCATATTTTGAATGGCTGCTCAGCGCAAGAACTGACAGTGCTGCGCTAGGGGAGGCTGGGGAACCTCCCACCTATCGCAGTGGAATACACCCGCGACCCACTGAACATGGGGTTGTGACCCACCAGTTGAGAACCACGGCTCTAAACAACCAAGCCAACATGTCATATTGCTAACCTTTTTTGCTGACAGTCCAGCTTGCTTTAGTTATATGTAGAGCAGTGTAATCCAGTTTAGAGTGCTGTGTCAGTGATCTGAAGAGGAGTGTACGGGATGTAGTTGCTGTCTGGACACTGGGCTGCGTGGTGACCACACAGGCTGTTGTGGCCGTAGTTCCATTTGCATATGACTTCTTGCACTATTCCCATAATCCTGTTTCTCTTGTTGTATCTAAGAACTGTTGTTGGTTTGGTCTATCTTCATTTCTTCTGTCTGTTACTGATCCCTGTTTCTCATGTTGTATTTAGTGGGTGGAGACTGGCTACTCGCTGCAGTGGTGCTATGAGAACTTCATCCAGGCTCGCTCCCTTCGCCGCGCCCGGGATGTCCGAGAACAGCTGGAGGGACTCATGGCAAGGATAGAAATTGAGCTGACATCGTGTGAAGGGGACAGTTTACCTCTCCGTAAGGTAATGCCAGCTTAGACACATTCTGACCCGCATTGATCAGAGCATTAGAATTAAAACATTAGTGGGTGCGTGATGGAAAAAACAAAGGAGGAGAGCAAGGTTTCACAGCCCAATAAAGTAGATATAACCAAAGAGATGGATCCCAATTTCAGGAATGCTAGGGCCCAGAAACGGGGGAGGGGGGGGCTTTCTAGAAACACTTAAAGGAGAACTATGAGATGAGTGATTTCCACTCACCTCATAGTTCTAGATTATTAAACCCTCCGGGGTTTTTGTATATGGCTAGCAAGCAGTAGATATATGCAAAAAGTTTAGAAAACAAAAACGCTTTGAAAAGGGTTAATACTTACCTGTGTCCTCCCCGCGCTCTCCCGTCCGAAAATGTGAAATTTCTCGGGCGGCCGCAAAGCATCTTGGGGCGGGCGCATGCGAAGCTAACATTTTCGGCCGGGACGCGAGGAGAGACGCAAGGTAAATATAAGGACAGTGTACACCCGCATGCAGACACTGTGGGACAGGAAGTGCCAGCAAGCTCAGAGGAGTCGGCGCTGGATCGGAGACCCGCAGCAGCGCTGGAGGGACGGATGAAAACATCAGGAAAGAAGAGGAAGATCGGATTAAGAAACATAATTTAAGGTAAGTGCTGACATTAACATTGGGGGGAGGGAAAAATATCTTTGACTTTAATGTCGCTTTAAGCTCTCACAGTATATTTGTGAAAGAAATTAATTTATTATTCACAAAAAAGTAAAAATCACATAGTATTATTGCACTCGAAGGATTGGTGACAAAAATGAGGTAATGATGATATGAGGTAAGGATAAATCTGGCCATAGGAAATCTCCTTCTCTGTTATAGATGTCATGCTCTGCTTTGCCATTTAATCCTCACCTTGCTATTACCCTCTGTTCTCTGCTAGGCTATCACAGCTGGCTATTTCTACCACACGGCTCGGCTCTCCCGCAGCGGCTACAAGACAGTGAAGCAGCAGCAAGCCGTATTCGTACATCCAAACAGCAGTCTGCACGAAGAACAGCCACGCTGGGTTATATATCATGAACTTGTCTTTACCACCAAGGAGTACATGAGACAGGTAAGCAAAAAGAATGCACTTCTGTTAGGCAAATCTAATGTGCATGTCAGAGGTTTACAGAGGTGTGTGTGTGTGTGTGTGTGTGTGTGTCTTTTAGTTTATCTCAGTCCTGTCATGGAAAGTAGACAGACATTTTTTACCTGCCATAGTCTTGTGATCTATGTACCCCTGCCACAATGCACAGCCAGGTCCACCTCCCCAGTGCTTACCGCTGCTGTTGACTATTACAGCTTGGTCGCCATCTCATCCCAAGCTTGTAAGCCGCCCGATGTGATCGCAATTAAAGTAAAATAAACTAATAACCCTTTTAAATTAATATTAAATGAAATATAAAAATAATGTAAAAAAAAAGCCCCTCGAGCCCGCGTGTCTTCACGTAAACAGGTGTCGGCTGCGCCTACGTATGAAAACGACGATCGCGCTACACATGTTGGTATCGCCGCGCACGCCGGAGTGAGAGCAATAATTCTAGGGACATAATTATTATTATACAGGATTCATATAGCGCCAATAGTTTGCACAGCGCTTTACATTTATGCGCATCTCTAAACTGATGAGCTGTGGGGGGTTTTAAAGTGTCGTATACGCACTTTTTGGGGTACTGAATTTTGTCAGTTTCATGGACGCACACAATTTTAAACCTGGGCATGTTAGGTATCTATTTACTCGTTGTCACCTTTTTTTATTTTATAAAACAAATGGGTATTTTATTGTTTTGGGGCATTTAAGTGCATTTTTCACAAAAATGTTGGGGTTTGATAAGGAGTTGCTCTATTATCGTGCAACATACACATTTGCAAATGCCACTTTTTTATTCTACGGGGTCTTGGCTTTCAGAAAATATATAATGTTTGGGGGTTTTTAAGTAATTTTCAGACCTAAAATTTGGATAATAACATGTAAACAAAAAATGTAAAAAAAAAAGGCCTCAGTCATGAAGGGGTTAAAGAAGAATTATGAGGCTGATTTTCACTCAGCCTCATAATCTGAGCCGACCTATGACAATGAAACTGTCACAGGTCAGCTCAATAGATCGGGAAGTGAGCGAACACATACCGGCGCTCGCTCACTTCTCAATCTATCCGTGCAGAGAGCCGTGACTGTCACTCACGGCTCCCTGCAGGGATTCCCCTCTCCGATCCTCCAGCGCTGACTGGTGGAACGGGCGGGTACAGCTGGCTCTGCCTCTAGATAGTCAGAGCCAGCAGCTGGGTGGATCCAGACAGAATTGTCGGGATCCGTCCCGGCTGCGCCGTCTCAGTATACCGCGAGCTGTAGCTTTGCGGTATACTGAGCCTAGGGTGATGGGAGGACGCTAGTTTGTGTCCTCCCATTACCCTAAGGAGAACTATGGGGAAAAGCTCTGACCCCATAGTTCTCCTTTTTAAAGCGTTAAATTAGAATGTATTGAAAGTGAAACTATAACGCCAAGCAAATAACATTTAAATCTATATAAACTGTTTAACCCACCAAAGCATATAACAATGTGTTTAGCCCCTGATGAGATTTATACTCGCCTTGTACACTTTATAACTAGGATGACTCCACTGCTTCTCAGCTTCAGTGTCACTTCCTTCTCATCAGACTGATGATGTAAATGTACTGACCTGTAACCAGACTGGAGATGGAGGATGACTTGTGTTGGATAGCAAGAACTATTCCTCCCTCATACACTTCATGATGCTTATACCAACAGATCATAGAGATTGAAAGTCCATGGCTTCTAGAAGTGGCTCCACATTACTACAAGTCCAAAGAGCTGGAGGATGCAGCCAGCAAGAAGATGCCAAAACAGATCGGGAAAAGCAAAGATGAGCTGGGCTGAGGAGACGTCGGCTGTCATCGAATGTACTCAGGTTTGTGCTGCTATGTGGCCTGAACCCATCACTATGAGACTGGGGACACGTGTACAGCAGGGCTGCCAATTATTATTATACAGGATTTATATAGCGCCAACAGTTTGCGCAGCGATTTACAATATAAGGAAGACATTACAATCGCAAGACAAGCTGGTAAGGAGGGCCCTGCCCCTGGGGGCATACATTCTAAAAGGGAGGGAGAAGTGATACCTGAGGAGGTAGCTGTGTGGGGATGAATTGTTTGAGAACGTGATAGTTGAGCGGTTGGGTTGAGGTGGGATAGGCTTCCCCGAAGAGATGAGTCTTTAGGGATCGCCGAAAGGCAGTCAAGTTGGGCGACAGACAGGTTGGGGTAAAGAGTTCCAGAGGGTGGGAGAGACTCTAGAGAAGTCCTGGAGGCGAGCATGGGAGGAATTAATTGAATGAAAGTATTTCCAATGATCATTTCAATACATCAATTATCAGTAAACATTTCTGATGTGTATCAGAACTGAATGTATTATAGGAAGCATGCTGAGTAGCTTATACAGTGCATATATTTACTTGGACAGCCTGAGGAGCAACAGTTATTTTTTGATGTACGCAAACCTGCATGAAACAGTAAATTTGCTGTGGACTGGGACGAGAGCAATTTGCTTGAAGACCAGGAAAAAAAACAAAAACAGAAGACTTTTAAGACTTGACTATCCTGCTGTCCGGTTCCCTGTATTGAGTGACTGCTGCCTGAAGAATCGTATACCTCTTACAATTCTGATAGCATCCAATGCCTGGTCCCCCTGTGCATTCTGTGGTTCCATCTGTCGACCCAATATCACTACAGAACAAGGTAGTGATGTGCAGGATCCCAGTGGGTGGAGCTACAGGGTACAGAGGGGGCCAATGTCCATGCTGACAATTCTCCAGGCAGTGGTATCTCCTCCGTCAGTAAAAATCGGCAAAAGGATAGTTACATATTGAAAGCCTCATTTTCCACACAACCTTTTTTTTTTTACTTAAGTTAGGCTGCTTTAACCAGTTGACATCCGGGGTGTTAAACCCCCTTCCCATCCAGGCCATTTTTCAGTAACCTGTGATAATAGATGGCCTGAAGCCCAGTTTGAAAGGTCTGAGCATCTGTCCTGGATACTTATTACAGGTCAGCAACTGTAATGGCGCATGGAGACGGCTTCCCGGCCAATCAGGAAGCTGGGCGGCGGGTCATTACATGGCGCCTGGCTTCCTGATTGGCTGGGAAGCTGGCTCCATGTCCCTGGTGATGAGGGAGCATGGAGCCGGCTTCCTGGCCAATCGGGAAGTCAGGCAGCGTGTAATGACTTGCTGCCTGGCTTCCTGATACCGGAGGTTCTGGTATCAGGAGAGTACGATGCTCGCTATCGGCACCGATACATCTCTATGTTATATATCAAAAACACTTTGAACCCCTCACATTTCTTTTCTTCTTATTCCAGGAAAAAGGGATGGAGAACCTCACACGGACCCTGTACATGCTGCATCCTACCTCTGTTTATATCTCATTTGTATAAAGCTTTTGTATAAACATTTTTACCATTTTTTTGATGCAAAGATGTTTGAGGTCTTTATTTGTTTTGGCACCTATCATTGTACATCCCCAATTCCAGAAAAATGTGGACGCTGTGTAAAATCTACATAAAAACCGAATGCAATGATTTGTAAATCTCAAACCCAGATTTTATTCACAATAGAAAATATCAAATGTTTAAACTGATCTCAGTCTTTTTTTTTATTGCTGTCTATGTATCCACTTAAAGAGAACTATGAGGTGAGTGAAAATCACTCCTCCTCATAGTTGGAGCCGATGTGTGACAATGAAACTGTCACAGGTCGGCTCACTAGATCGGGAAGTGATCGAACACATACCATCGCTCGCTCACTACTCGATCATGTCCCTGCAGAGAGCCGTGACTGTCACTCACGGCTCTCCTGCGGGGATTCCCCCTCTCCAATCCTCCAGTGCTGACTGGCGGAACGGACGGGGGAGGGTACAGCTGGCTCTGGATAGGCAGAGCCAGCTGTCAATCACACAGCTGGGTGGATCACGACAGTAATGTCGTGATCCGTCCCGGCTGCGGCGGTCTCAGTATACCGCGAGCTGTACTGAGCTTTGGGTGACGGGAGGACGCTACTTTGTGACCCTTAGGAGAACTACGGGGAAAAGCCCTGACCCCATAGTTCTCAGTTTAAGTGATGTTTTCCAAAGCACTCATAACAGGAAAGAAGGAACCCTCCCCAGTGGTAACATGGACAGCAGTAATAGAAATGTTGTCATGAGGAAGGTTTAGAACGTCTGTAAATGTACGAATTGCTGTGTTTGTCCTCATTTACTGCTCAGCTGGTACCACCACTGAGGGCGTACTCTCCATATCCTCCTATTCAGAGTCTACTAACAGGTAAGTAAATCAGCAGGATTGCTGAGGGCCACAACACGTTCCTCCAGAGATGCTGAGAATAAAAACAGTGCGACCAGCTAAATGGCATTCCCAGGATTTATTTAACATTTCATTTCTGAGTATAAAGTAACACATTCATAACAAGCAGATAACCTATCATCTTCATTCTTCCCCCATCATCTTCTTCATGTGCGGCCGGTACAGCTTGCGCAGTTGGCTCACGTCTTTGGCTGGTGGCTCCTGCCACTCGTACCAGGGATACCATGGGCCTTCTGGAGCAGGAGGAGTTTGTGCCACAGCTCCGTGATCATAGGAATAGTCTCCAAAGGTCACATCGTTGTGTAGTATCGTCACTGGGAGGAGACCTGGAGGAAGTGATCAGATTTTATAGGGAAAATGAGCTCCGTCGCTGCCTGCTTTATCACAATTTGTGAAAGGAGAGTAGTTAGTACCATCCAAAGCAACTGCTCAGGTGCTGGCTTTCATTTTCTAGCAAAATGTTTCCATGGCCAACTCTTATTTCGGAAAACCATTTGTCTATATTAGAGGATATTTGATTTATCGGTAATATCTGTTTTAGGGATGCACCGATACCGCAACTTCCAGTCAGAGGAAAATTGTGCCGTAGGAGCTGGGGAACATGGAGCCGGCTTCCTGGACTATTAGGAAGCCGGGTGGCAAGTAATGACCCGCCTCCCGATTGGCTGGGAAGCCAATTTCCTGGCCAATCACAATCAAGCCAGCCAAACAGCATGGAGCCGGCTTGTCGGGCAGCATGTCATTACATGCTGCTCGGCTTCCCGATTGCCCGGGAAGCCGGCTCCATGCCAGCGGAAACACCGGTAATCGGTAGTCTGTATCGGCAAGTACCAAAAGCAAAATATTGGTACTCGGTACCAAAAAACTGGTATCAGTGCATCCCTAATCTGTTTCTTGAAGTACAGTGCAGAAAAGGATTCAAAGATCTCCTGGTATATGCAGGTATCATTAGGTGATTGGACACTGAGCTGAGCTCCATATAACCCTTCTGCTGGTCCCCCCAGAGAAGATAAGCCTTCCAGGTGCAGTGATACACATTGAGAAAGGTTGAATTCCTGGCATGCCAGACCATGGGAATGACCAAATCAGACAGACCTCTATGGTTTAGGAACGGCTCTTCCCCCCCCCCAGGCCACACCCTTTCTATATTATCTTCCTATCACACTGCACAGCCTTGAAGAGTGGAAACTGCTCTGGATTCAGGAGCAGTGCTGCATCGTTGCCACACCCTCAAAGAAAGCTGCACCTGCAGGCGATCAGGTATCTGTGGGACCTTACAGGTGGGTTAAGCTAAAAATGTAACTGCATTTGTAATTTAGTGCTGCGGCACTTTTTAAAAAAATTATTATTATCAGAGACTATAGTTCTACTTTAAAGCAAACCTATTGCTTTAAAGTAGAACAGCAGGCGCTACAAGAGTGTCATGGATATAAGACACAAGTGATATTGTATCTGCAATTGATAGGGTTTCAAATATTAATGTTTGGCAATCTTATTCTGGGGTATAATAATGTTTTATCACAATGCTCCTGCGGCCGTCAGACCGGTCTCTGTCACGTCAATGCTGCGGATTAGTATCTGCCTGATATCACAGATCTTGTTCTCCTGCAATGATCACACGGGTTGGTGTTGCGGCATGATCTGCTGATCAATCAAATCAGTCTCCTCCCATGTGGGCCCCCCATGGCTTCCAGGAACTGTACTTCCGAAGCTGGAGGCTACACCACTGGAGAACGATGCACTGCTGCCATCTTTGCCTGCCTATTGTGCCTTTTGTGAATGGTACAGGAGGGGAAAGCCATTTCTAAACACAGCTCCAGTTGAGACAAAGGGATTTCTGAATTAAGAAAGCTAGTCGGAGGACCAGCAAAACGTCTTTAAGAAATTTGGTGTCTATTTACCCGACGTGACCCCGACTTTTATATTTTAGCAAAAAACTGGGTAATAATAAATGTTTCCTAACATAATTTAAAAAAAAATCTTTCAAAATTTTCTGTAATTTTTCCTAATTATAGTAAAAAATAAAACCCCCGTGGTGATTAAATCCCACCAAAAGAAAGCTCTATGTGCCCCCAAAAAAGGGTATATAACTCATTTCAGTACAGCGTTGCATGACGGAATAAACTTCAGTCAAAGTACCGCAGCGCTGAATACTGAAAAATGGCCTGGATGGGAAGGGGGTTTAACCGGAGCTCTCTAGATCTGAGCGGGCGTCTTAGACGTCCGCTCAGACACACCCCCTCACACCCCCAGACACAAGCGGTTAAGACAAATACAGCAAGTCCAGCTGCCTTGATTTATTTGTTACTGATATACCATGACCTGGACGAATGAGAACCTTCACAGACAACACTTTCATTCTTTAGTCCAGCTTTGAGTCCACTCGAAGGCATCTGATGACAATACCCAATCAGCTTGTGGTCTAGAAAGGGGGTCAGCACACAAGCATGCAGGATGGAACACATAATAATGAGTCACTTAGCAAGGAAAGGGAGCAGCACAGCTACTCACCATGATCTTGGGCATCAGTGATGGCTTTTACAAGCTTCTTGTACTGCTCCATACAGACACCTAAATCACATAAACAGAAGCAGTAACATCGGAATGTCAGGACGCACCACACAGACAATTCATTCTGAATGTGAGTCATATCATAAAGGGAGCACACACCTGTCCTTGTCGGATCGTGCACTGTTCCAGTATACGGACATATAAACTGCTCAAGCAACTGGATGTTCTGAAGATAAATGAACAGCAGCAATGAATCACACGGTTATGTATCCATTAAAAAGGAATCACTTTGATTACTAAATAAAAGAAGTGTAAAAATCTGAATCTGCCTTTACATGAGCTTGCAGAGCAGGGGGTGGGGGGTTAGCTCTTTTGCTCTCAGGGGTTCTATTGCTATGCGCAATGCAAACAGGAAAACTGCTAAAAAGTGTGTCTAGGCAGAAAAAACATTCCTTAGATTTCTGCGATACAAACTCGCACATTCCCCATCATTGATCCCTTTACAAATGCTGGAAGTACATAAAAAAAAAAAAATCTGCCAGAAATCCGGCGTGCTCCCAACTTTCTGTTTAGACCGACAACACAGTGCCTCTGCTGCACTGAAATCCAAATCATTGGAAGCAATCCGTTTTACAAGTGCAAAAAAAACAAAAAACCTTGATATCTCGTCTGAAATTCAGAGCCATCCTCGGTCCTGTGCTCTCTGCCCGTGTTATCTTTAAGAGTTTCATCTAGTGCTCTTGCTTTAAAGAATAACTTTGGGCATGTTAAAAATGAATCCATGCAGTGGGGCTACTCCAGCACTGCAAGAGTTAAGTGCTCATTTTGGTCTAGGGTGTAAAATAACAAAGATATTCTCACTTGACCCTCGATCATGCCTGGCTGCTAGACCGGTCCCAGCAGGCTAACACCGCCCCCCCGGCGGTGGAATGTCCATTGGAGTGTAGGGGGAGAGACGGGTTCTTGGACCGGTCTAGCAGCCAGGCAGGATCGACTGTGTATATCTTTGTTATTTTACACCCTAGAATCCAACCCGACAGGCCATTTCATGTGGCCCTCGCACCTCTCCGGCAGCTTTACATTTTTAAACCAAAGCTGGTGCTGTAAACGGGCGCCTGGCTTCACAGGGAAGGCTGCTGAGTTTCCCAGCAGCCCTCCTGTGAATCGCAGCACCTGTATACAGCGCCTGCAGCAAATCTTCTTCCTCTGGATCTACGCCACCTGCCGAGACCAACTGTGACCCCTGGTGAAACCAGCTGCTTATGTTTTGTTTTTTTGCCTCGATATACTTAAAGGCTTAAACAAAGATGTTCGCATCTTGCAAAAAAGCATATATAGTATAGTAGCGGTCATACTCACTCTGTAATCCACATAAAGCTTCTGATCTCTGCAGATTGGACACGGGTTCCCACAGGCTTTGCCCGCTCTCTGTCAAATAAACCAACATGTAGAAGGAATCACAACCAATATCTGATCCGATAACAATTAGTGAAATATGGAATCAGCCATTGCTGGCCTCCTGCTGATATTTGGCAACTCCAAATATTGAGTTCCTGGGCTTAGGATGATAGGCAACTAGCAGTTTATGAAATAGATGTCAGCAACGTAATTCTCCTCTCACCAGGTTTACAAAGGTGTACTGAGCCAAATGGTGCGGTACGCATGTCCATGTTCACTGAGCACTGCACTTTATACTAACCAGAACATTGCAGACAAAGCTCGAGTTGGGAAGATGTTGAAAAGATGTTGTACAGTCCTGTTCTAGGGTGACAACACTGCTTCTTCATAGATGCAGTACCGTGAGGGAGTGTTGTCACCACAGGACCAAAAAAATGTGTTACTGCGTCTTTAACGCAGGGCAAAAGGGGCCGCTGCCCAGGGCCCAGCCATTGTTGTGGGGCCCAAAGCAGCTGCCCCTTGAGCAGGTCCTGCTCTGCAAAAAAAAAAATAGCAGCCACATCTAAGAGCTTGTAAGCAACATTATGCTACATTTTTGTTCTCAGATTAAAAACACACTTTAAAGCAAAACTCCAGGCAGATTGTTTTTCTTAAGCCTTGCAGTGGGGCCATCCCCACATTACAAGGGTTAACTGCTCCTTTTTTTCCCCCCCTAGGTGCTAAAAAAAAAAAAGTATACTCACCCAATCCTAGGAGCCAGCTTGCCCTTAGACCAGTCCCTGAAGCCTCTCTCCCCCTCCGCTGCAGTGGTCTACGGTTCGTAAGTCATCACGTTCTATACGCAGAAGGGAATTCATCAAAGCCGGAGCAGACAAAATCTGGAGCAGCTGTGCAGGGCGACCAATCAGCTTCTATCTTTCATTTTCAAATCTTAACTGAACAAACTGAAGAGAAAAGCTGATTGGTTGCCATGCACAGCTGCTCCAGATGTTGATAAATTCCCCTCAGAGTGTATAGACCTGAGGACGATGAGGAAAAAATGAGGAGAGAGGCTTCAGTGAGCGGCTCGGCAGTTCGGGTGAGTATACTCCTCTCCACCTACGTTTCTTTTGTAAGCACATATGAAATGCACATTGCTGATTCTTCCCTAACTGCACACCAAGCTAGCAAAGAGAGAGAACGTGACAACCGCCTCAGGGTCTTACTTACAATGCACTTTTTTCGGGTTTTTTGTGGTGGGATATGTCCTTTGTGGTTCCTCCTGTAATTAGCCCAGACTAGACTTTCCCCATAACGCTCCACGTATTCTAGAAGAGAGAGAAATAGAAACATATAGACTTCACAAACAATTGGATGCACCGCACTCTCGCCGTCTTATAGCGGCCGCCTGGGTCGCTATGGCGATTGTTACGCCACTGAAACCATGACTTGGTGCTTCGAGCCTTGTGACAACAGCGTGGAGAAGGCCATTTTCTGTTCCACAAAGCCAGCTCCATAAAGACATGGCCTGCTGGGTTTGGTGCGGAGGAACTCGTGTGACCTCAAACCTACTGAACACCTTCGGGATGAACTGGAAAGTGGAGTGGAGGTCGTTATAGCTGCAAATGGCAGCCGACTCCAGATTACTGTCCATGGTTTTGGAATGGGAAGTCTAACAAGCTCACACAGGCGTTATGGTCCACAAACCTTTGGTCATACAGTGTATACACCATTTTAAAGAAGAACTCTGGGCAAAGATTTGATTAACCCTTGCAGTGGGACTATCCCTGCACTGCAAGGGTTAACTGCTCATTTTTGCCTAGGGTCCAACAAAAAAAGTTATACTCACCCGATCCTCGGAGCCGGCAGCGCTCTCTCCTCCTCAACAATGTCCCCCGGCATCTGCACGTCCTATACGCTGGGGGGGAATTCATCAACACTGGAGCAGATCGGCACTGCAACCAATCAGCTTCTCTTTTCAGTTTGCTCACGAGAGATTTGAAAATGAGATAGAGAAGCCGATTGGTTGCCGTGCAGATCTGCTCCACATTTTGTCTGCTCCAGTTTGGATGAATTCCCTTCGCTGTGTATTGGATGTGATGACTCTCAGAGGGAGAGACGCTCCAGTGACCGGTCTAAGAGCTGGTCATCTCGGAGTATCAGGAGGGTAGAACTTTTTTTTCTTTTACCCTAGGCAAAAATGAGTAGTCAACCCTTGCAGTGCAGGGGTAGTCCCACTGCAAGGGTTAACCAAAAGTGTCCCAAGAGTTCTTCTTTAAGCAAGTACACGGAATGTCACTTTAAGAAAACCTACCTGTACTGGCCAGGTATTCCCAGGGTTTCTCTTTATACTGGGATGACACATCAAACTCTTCGGGGGGGTTGCAGAGTCCACGAACTCCGACAGGCAGCACAGACACCCGCGGCTGCAGAAGAGAAGGAGTATATAGCATTCAGTCCGGCCATTATTATCATACAGGATTTATATGGCACCAACGGTTTCTGCTGCGCTGTACAATATACAGGTAGACCTACAGTAACAGATCAATACAAGAGAGTTTGGGGGCCCTGCTCCTCGGAGCTCACTAGAATACATTTCCTCTCCCCGTCCTTGTCATAGTCTATTCCCAGGCAGCAACTCTTTTGCCATTTCCTCATGATAATATCACGGAGAATTATGAGGCGAGTGAAATATAATCATCCCCATGGTTGGAGGCGACGCGTGACACTGCAGAGGTCGCATATCAGGTCTATAGCTCGAGAGCTGAGCGATCACATACCGCCGATCACTCAGCTCACGGCTTCTCCCTGCAGACTGTCAGTCATAGCTTTTGTCTAGGTGCTAGAAATAAAACAAAGATCTACTCACCTGATCCTTGGAGGCGGCTCGCTCGAAGACCAGTCCCTTCTGCCGCGCTCCCCCAGCTTCAAGGAGAACTATGAGGTCAGTGAAAATCACTCCTCCTCATAGTTTGAGCCGATGTGTGACAATGGAACTGTCACACGTCGGCTCAATAGATCGGGAAGTGAGCGAACACATACCGTCGCTCGCTCACTTCTCGATCATCTCCCTGCAGCAGAGAGCCGTGACTGTCACTCACGGATCCTTGCAGGGATTCCCCCCCCCCAGAGCTGACTGGCGGAACGGACGGGGGCGGGTACAGCTGGCTCTGCCTCTAGATAGGCAGAGCCAGCTGTCACTCACGCAGCTGGATGGATCTCCACAGTAATGTCAGGACCCATCCTGGCTGTGACGGTCTCAGTTTTGCTGTAGCTCGCAATATACTGAGCTTTGGGTCACGGGAGGACGCTAGTATATGTCCCTAAAGTGAACTATGGGGAAAAACACTTACCAATAGTTCTCTTAAGGTTCCGCCAGTCATCACGTCTAATATACAGTGAATAGGATATGAGGAGGTCGAGGGACATTGCTGCAGCAGAGAAGGAGACAGGGGGAAGAGATCAGTCTGAGAACAAGCCGGCTCCAAGGTCTGGGTCAGTATAATGTCATTTTTGTGCCTAGACAAAAACGAGCACTTACCCCTTTAAACCAAAGGGCAAAGATTTTTTTTTTCCCCCCAGGATTCTGCTTTAAGCCATTTCAACTGCTGATATATCACTTACAATGGCTGCTGCCCGTGAGAAAGAGGGCTAAAGATTGTTTATACTGCTCAGATAATCTCACCTGGGTGTAGATAAACCAAACACAGGAGGCTCATGTGAATTTAGCCTTAGGGCCCGCTCACACTAGTTGCGGTGGGCTTGACAAGGTTGGGTGGTGGTGACAAGAGTCCCAACGTACAGGCAGGGCAAAATACATTGAGAGGAATTTATCAAAATCTGGAGCAGTTGCCCAGGGCAACCAATCAGCATCTCTCTTCCGTGTGTTCAGTTAAAAGAGAACTATGGGGTCAGTGTTTTTCCTCATAGTTCTCTTAAGGGTCATGGGAGGACATATACTGACCTCCCACCGTGACCCAAAGCTCAGTATATAGCGAGCTACAGCTCGCGGTATACTGAGAGCGCCGCAGCCGGGATGGAACTCGACAATACTATCTGGAGCCACCCAGCTGCGTGAGTGACAGCTGGCTCTGCCTATCTAGAGGCAGAGCCAGCTGTGCCCGCCCCCCTCCCCCAGTCAGCGCTGGAGGATCAGAGAGGGGGGAATCCCTGCGGTGAGCGGTGTCTGACAGTCACCACTCTCTGCAGGGAGATGATCAGGAAGTGAGCAAGCGACGGTATGTGTTTGCTCACTTCCCGATCTATTGAGCCGACCTGTGACAGTTTCATTGTCACACGTCGGCTCGAACTATGAGGATGAGTGATTTTCAATCACCTCTTAGTTCTCCTTTAAGATTTGAAAATGACAGAGAGAAGCTGATTGGTTGCCCTGCACAGCTGCTCCAGATTTTGTCTGCTCCAGTTTTGATAAATTCCCCCTCATTATGTCCCAGGAAGCCAATTCACTAAAAAGTGCACCGAAGAGAGTCGGACATGCACGGCGCGTTGCGCTAAATAGAAATGAACAGATTCTTTGTAACATTTCAATAAAGTGAAAAGAAAAAAAAAGGTAAACTGTGATGCATTGTAATCAGCGCTATGCACGCTTCCCTGACAGCGCATTTGGCTGTTGGTGTCCATGGGCCCTTACCATACCCACTACAGGTTTGTTTTATTTCTCTGAATGCACAGCCTGTTGCTGACCTCCTTTCTGAAAATGCCGATTGCCTGGCTTTTCTGCTGACCACCTGACTTCAATGCTGTCTAGGTCAATGCACAGCAGGCGAGTATACTGCAGATTTATATAATGTATCTGTCGCAGTCACATGACTGCCAAAAACGCTCAGTAGCCATCAATTCCCTCATATTGCCCAACCTCCATCCCATTACCCGGCTCCAAAGGATTCCTCTAACGCCGCTCACACACAACCTGCCCAAGGAGGCCGCCATCTTGGAGAGGGAAGTCACACGATCCGCTCTGCCAACCAGCGTACGTCCTTTTCCATTTTTTTTTTTTAAACCTTCATTCAGCTTTATTGATCATTTACACGCTGACCTGCCCTTTGAGTCTTTGTTGGAAGACACGAGGACTTTTTTTCAGCAACTTTATTTATATCAAATTTGTAAGCACATTTATACATTGTGTGATTTTGTGAATGGCAATAGTCATTAGCAACCAGCAATAGTTAATCGGAAGGCAACAAGACGTAATAACTGCCCACGATCTGTAAAGCGTGACGTGCGGGCACTGGGATGCCAATATGCAATTAAGGTCTAAAAGTTATAAGAATGGTACTAATAGAGCAAGTGACAAACAAGAAACTGACACGTTTTGCCCATGCAAGCATTATTGCAAGATACGCAAAAAGAAGCACGAGTGTATAAATTGCGTCTCGAATTCTCTTCTATCAAAAGGTGCATGGGCGCCATTTTGCCGGAGACAGCTGCTACGGCGTTTGAAGCAAAACCGTACCATGCAAAATGGCTTCCACTGAGGACATAATCAGCAATATAACTCGCGCTCTATTGGGCTAGCACGTAAAAGAAGGGTGATTGCTGTTGGTTGTGAACATTTACCATTCAACAGCATACATTTCATACGGCGTGCAGCTAATCTATGTCCCTGTCCATGAAACGACCGAACACAGGCCCAAGTTTATTCCCATTACAAGTGTACGCCATACAGAAACGATAAGGGCGAGGGCGTGACTAAGCACTTTCAAGGTGCTCGGTTCCTATTGGCTGTTTAGATGACGTCACCTGTCGCTACCTTCTCCGCCAAGCCTGCCTCGACCGACCGACCAATCCGGTTCCCCCTTTCGGCCTCATTTTTTCACCCCGCCCTCTTGACGTCACCGAGCTTTATAAAGACGAGCGTCGGTTGCCGCCGCCATTCCAGGCTTCGTCGTCAGGTATGTGAGGTTTCAGTTTGTGTTGGTTATTTAGGCGCTTACCCCTCCCCTCATTGTCCTTCACCACAACCTTGCCGCAATTTCGTGTCCTTTCCCCCCTGCCGCCATTATGTCTCCCACCTTTACTTGATAATTTGTACTTAATATGCTTTATTTTGTTTTTCTCTCTCCAACAGGTTTCACAACCTCCACGAATTATTCTGGCTCACCCAACGTCCGAATGTTCATGTTGGAAGATAGTTAAGATTAATAACTAAAGAAAACCAAAACCCTGAAGCTTTTCTCTGCTTTGGATGAGACTGAAGATCAAATTGCTCGAGAGACAAAAAAAAGGCCGCGCCCTACACCAGCTATACGTTTTTTTTGTGCCGCTCTTATCAAAGCTGCCACCCCCCTCCCTAAAAACCCCCTCCTAGGGCGGATGAGAACTTAGAATAACAATAATTGGTAATAATAATAAAAAGCTAGAAATACGATTTCTGTATGAAAGCTAGCCTCTTAGAATCCGAATTTGAGCCGTTTTGAGGCCAAGTTGCCCCTTAAAAACATGGACTTGCTGGACAGTCTCCAACACTGATGCTACGCCCTTTTATAAGATGGTTGACGCAGACTTTCATGCTGCTATAACCCCTGAGGCACATTGACAACACCCCCACCCCTCTAAAAGGAGATAGGAAGCCCCTTTTCTTCCTTTTTTTTAGCCCAAAAAAACCTACGTTTGAAGCACAGGAGGAGAGTTTTGGATAGTAAGTGTTGCTTTTTTCAAACCAACTTCGACAACTTTTTTGTTTATTATTTAACCCCCCCCCCCCCCCACGTATAAAAAGCCACGTGGGGGTTCTCTAAATTTCATAATTTTTATTCTTTCTCCCCACAATACGAGACCTGGACGTATAATGGTATCACGAATTTCATGGCACAGTCCTAAATCATTTACCAGGGAAGACTTTAAAGCTGCAGAGAAAACGCCTTGCTGATCTCCATATGAATCATTGGGTTGGCATGCTTTTGCTCTATAATTATATAATAGGGAAGGGTCGGTAGGGAGCAACTATGAGCTGTAATATAACATAATACATATTTCAGTGGCAAAGCAGTTCCCAGGATTTGGAGATTGGGAGCTTTACCTTTGATTTGCTTCATCTCTGTACTACTGAGAAACAATTTGCCTCATTTGAACGCTGGACTATGATTTGGTTGGCATGCCTTTGCTCTATGACCATCTAATCTGTTGGACTAGCTGGGCAGTTATGAGCCATAAAATATATAATATAGATTTTAGGAGGAAAATGAGCTCCCATGCTTGAGATGAGGTTTGGGAGCTTTGCCTGCAAAGGCTTCATCTCGGCGTGGGAGACAATAAGTAATGTAGGCTGGCAGGAGGATTTGTAGTTGAGCTGTAATAATAGATCCATGAGCAATCTGTACATAAAGATTGCAGGGAGAGGAGGCTGCTAAGACACCGAGCAGGACCCCCCATATTCCAGGATGGCGAGGAGCAAATTTGTACCCAGGCAGGGAACATAAAGGCTCATGGAAAGCAGCAGCAGACGAGCGCAGATTGATTAATGGATGATGAACCATGGCCATTCTCTCCAAGGAGTCTTCCTTTTGTTTTTTTCTTTCCCCCTCTGCATTCTTTTTTTATTACTCCATTAACCTATTTTGCTGTCCGTATGGAATTAATATTTACACAGCAGTGGAGTCCTATTTTTATTTGTTTTTTTCCCATCTGTGGCAGATGGAAACATTCACCCTAGGAGAATTGCAAGCAATCTAGCCATAAAGATTGCATAGCTTCTGCCCACCAAATGCCATATGTGCATTGGTACATGATTTTTTAAATGCCGCGCTTTCCAGTAATGATTGTGTCTTAGGCCGTGCCGCAAAAGTATGATTGATATAGGCAGACTAGTTTTCTTTTCTTTTTAATCCTTTAATTCTATTTTTTTTAATCGTGTAATTCTATTTTTTCTTTTTTTGTATATAGCTTTTGTTTTAAATTCGACGTGTGCTGTTTTTAAAAGTAATGTTTTGTCATTTTCATATCTCCCATTTCTGACTTATTTGCCACAACACACATTTCATCTTTTTGTTGTTTTTTTCATGAAATTGGGGCAATTTTAAATGTGTGCAGAAGAGGCAACATACGTCTTTAATATATATCGAGGACGAGGCAAAATAATCTGTAAGATTGGATCTGCATTTCATTTTTTTTTTTCTCAAAGCATTTGTTGCAGTGAATCTGGACTTTTCTTCAAAATGGCTGCCCTGCTTGTTGTTTTTAGTCTCTAGCGTGTTCCAGCATCAAAATGGCCTCTGTCACTCCTTTGTGTGCAGCGAGGGGGCGGAGGACTTGTGCTGCAGAGGGGTTGGCCAATGTGCGCAGCCTAGGGGAACACCCTCCTCCCGTCTACTGATTGCCCTCTGCTCTGATAGGCATCTGATAAAGATATAAGAGCGGTGAGGGAGGCAGGAAGGCTATAGACCGTCAAGTCCCTGTATTTGTTTTCCAACCGTTCATTCTATAAGCCCAAACCTTTCTGCTTCTCAGATGGTAATTTTATATTTTCAGTATTCTGCAGCACACGATGGGAAAACAAATGTGCAACTGTTTATATTAATAGCTACAGTGTGCGTGTGCACATACAAATTGCTACAGGATCCGTTCTTTAATGACTTAAATACATTTTGATTTCTTCATTTCTATAGCACCCACATGTTCCACAGTGTTTCAGTTTACACTGCACATTTCACTCATGTTTTCTGATCTCGACTAACTTGTATTTTGTTGTTGCCAGTATCGGGAAGCGTAGACTTTATTGCCAGTATCGGGAAGCGTAGGCTTTATTGCAAGTATCGGGAAGCGTAGACTTTATTGCCAGTATCGGAAGCGCAGACTTTATTGCCAGTATGTTTCGGAAACGTAGACTTTAACCTATCAACCGGACTTTATTCATGCTTGCATTTACCCCCCCCACCCCTCAAAAAAAAACATTCAATCTGCTTTGTGTGCTTGAGGTGTCACGTAGGGCTCTTTAACTTTGTAGGCCTAGTAATGAATCGAGCGTGCCTTAAGTGTTGTATGCTAATGTTTGCGGGTAGGTGTGTGTGTATGTGTGTTGCTTAAGAATTATTATTATGCTTTGCCCTTTTATTCAAGAAAAAAAGTTGATTTGGGATAGGAGAAGGCATGTACTATGTGAAGTCTAAGGCCAGAGGCATTCTGTTCCTTTAAGATTTTAAGTATAGCCATTCATTTTATATTTTATGCTGCAGTCTAATATACTGTAGAGTTAATTCATGCCTTATTGCAAAAAATTTTTTTTTTTCTTTGCCTCATTACTGGGGTTCACATTCTGCCAGCATGTATGTATGTATAAATTAGTATAAAACACAACCTTTTGGCACCCTAGGTAGGTATTGTAATATTGCTTCCCATACAATAGCCAGCTGCAGGCAGTGGAGAGCCCGGAGTCGATGGCATTAAGGCAACCACTGCCAGTGTAAGTATGAAGGCCTCTAGCACAGGGTCAGCTGTTACAGATCCCACCGTTGTGTGTTTTGGATGAACTACAGGCAAATCCTTGTCACTGATGAAAGGCCAGCTCAAGTATTGGTAAGCGAACAATCCCGGTATGTGTGTATACGCACACGTTGCCCATCTCTTGTTAACTTTGATAAAAGTTTGCAACTTGATGTTAAAGATCTGATAAGTGCTGGCAGATATTGCGAGCACACACCATGTATGCATGCTTATGTGTTTTATAGACATTTTGCAGTTTAAACCTATGCACTGAATTGTTATATAGATGCAATGCTATGTACACCTGGTGGCTTCCACCACCTATGGTACATCAGCTTTCTGTACAGTGGTGATTATCTATATGGAGGCATTTTTAAAGGAAGTGTTGGTGTTGGAGAAAAAGAAACCATATATTTCATGTTCAGATTTAGAAAGGTTTCAGCTTGAAATCTGGTTGCTATTGGGGACAAGGGTTTTATTAAAAACACTTACATAAATGAGGCCTATCATAACCAAAATAAGGATAATGAGCCTCATTCATCAAATTAAGGACAGAGCTGTCTGTTGGGGTGTCCAACAAGATGTCATATCCCAGTCTATGTTATAGTTGGCTTGCTATGGGTCTACAGACAACCTAAGGCCTGCCTGTACTGAACCAGAGTAAGTCTGTAAATGTGTCCACATACCGTTCACCCCAGAATTACACTTCTTTTAAATGGATCTTCTGTGGAAACATAACTGGACCCCGAAGATTGCATTTGTTTTAGATCCGATTTGCTTTGAAGCAAATGCAGAATATCTAATAGCCGGATTCATCACTTGGCTGCAATCCGATCCAAACCCAATCACTGAAATCTCCTATAAGCTGTAACATGTTCCATGTCTTTTCAAACCTTTTAAATCTACAGATGGAAACACTTCCTGTTATTGGGTAACACTTGTCTCTCAGTTGTGCTCTTGCATGGTCACCCTGTCACGTGGCCCCCGGTGCAGATTGCAGAAGTGGCCGTGCTGATATTTTGGCCAGCATGGTCCGCCGCTGTCACCCTCAGGAAGCCAATACAGAGCCATGATGTGATAGCAAGTGCGCGTGGACAGGAAGTGGCTAAAAGAGGCTGGAGGAAACCAGATGCAAAAAAAAGAAATGGTGAAACAATATAAACATTTGATGCACGGGGCTTCAGCAAACTAAGAGTTATTCACTAAAAGGGTGAAGAGTTTGGAGAAGGCAGGAGAAGTGAACAATCTAGGACAACATCGCTGAACTGGAAAGTGAGCTGAATTGGAGACTTCTTCCAAATCAGCTATGTTGTCCTAGATTGTTCACTTCTCCTGCCTTCTCCAAACTCCCTTTAGTGAATAACCCCATCAGTATAGGTTAGGTCTACTGTATCTAAAGCCCCATTTATTTTTCGGATAGAGTAGGGTTAGCATCCTGTTACATTTGTAATGCCGTGTCCCAGCAGGAAACTTCACTCTTTGTCCTAGAGACCATTGTCACTAGGACCTGAATGTGAAGGAAAATCCAATACCAAGTTCTCACCAGAACAGGTAACCTGTCTAAGGTTATATTTACCTCACCTGAGAGATTTTGTCTTTGACGGGAAGTGAAGGTAAATCTCTCGGATAGGACACAGATGGAGAAAAAAAACAAACCTTACAGGGATTTTATCCATACCTTACTCTATCCAAAATGGTGGAGAACGTTTTGGCTTTAGATCTACTTTAAGAACTTTTCACACGGCCATCAGAAATCCAGCCAAAAATAACAAAGATAAAAACAAATACCCCATTCAAAGATAAAATAATAAAACCAAAGTTTTTTTTTGCTGTTGGCTGTCGTCATTCTGATGGGCAGCATCATTCACCCCGATTCCTCTGAGCACAGGTTGTCCTCAACCCACCCCAGCCTATGACTGGACAATGAAAGGAGAAACAGCATAGTGATGAGCTCATCACTTTGCTCTCTTCTATCAGCACATGAACTGATTGGCTCCTTGTGCTGCTGTTTCCTCTCACACTCCAACACTGCTGTACATGGAATGAGAGAGGCTGATATCAGGTCACATTCAGGTATTTACACTGCTTGCAATATATGAGCGCTGCATTCATTTATGTCTTATATCTGCCCGGAGTTCAGCTTTAACAACTGTCCTTTGTTGCCACCCACCAATCGGTTTTTAGAAATGCCCCAGAAAATGGCAGAAGGAAATGCAACTCTTGGTGGCTGTTAGGCGACATTTAATAGGTGTTTACTGGCAAGTGGTTATTAAACAAGAAAATCAGGTTACAGCTTCACCTTTGCTTCAGTTTTCATTAAGTCGGCCACACTGAGGCCTCATGTCTTCCTGTAGAATCGAAGTATAATTCTGGTTTCAGTGTTATAAGACAAATGATACAAAGGAAAGTATCTCTTTGCGCTAAGGAAGCTAGTGCTGGATAGTAGTAAATCGGGCCTTGTCTGCTGACTTTACTGTCTTTTATACACAAGCTGGGTTCACATTGTTGTGATGAGATCACACATGTGCGTTATGTCACGTTCACACATGTGCGTTATGTCAAGGCTTCCCTTTCATTTCAGTGGGCTGCCTAATGTACCCAACACACGGGAGGGCATCACTGCAGCACAACATTGTTTACTCAGCTTTACTGTTTATGTTGCCATACTTCTATCCAACCATTCATAATGGTACGGAAAAGATGAATAACCTGAATGTGACTGTTTTCACTCATTGCAGTTCAGTTTTGATCAATAGGTTAAATTTTTAAAGCTAAATAGGGGGCAAAAACGTTATTCAGGCACTAGCTAGTTACCAATAATGTACCTCTAATGATGTGCGCCCCACTGGTATCGTTTGCTTCTGTCTTGAACATTGTTACTTACATGCAGACTATGACAGTAATTTCACCTCTGAAGTTCTGGCAGTGGCGGTTGGGGCTGGAGCACAGTGATCACGGAGAGTCGCTCACTATGCAGCCCCTTAGATTTAGAAAATGTCTTGTATTATTTTTAAAGCATACAAGACAACCTGTGACTGGACAAGGGACGATTTGTGATGTTTATACATCCCTTGTCCAATCACAGAATGCCTTGTATGCTTTAAAAAGAATACAAGACATTTTCTGAATGGAAGGGGCTGCACAGCGAGTGATTCTCTGTGATCACTGTGTTCCAGCCTCACCTGTCACTTTCACTGCTGGAACTTCAGCAATGACATTACCATCCTAGTCTGCATGTAAGTATCAATTTCTCAGGAAAGAATCGGCAGCCATCGCCTAATGCCGCTATAAAGTTTGTGCCCGCACCTCAACTTTGAACTTAGTTCAGCTTTTTTTCCTGTACAGTGCAAAACAAACTGCCAACAGTGATGAATAATTTAAAAAAAATAATATATCTATATATAGATAGATGGCTATATATCTATCTAGATAGATAGATAGATAGATAGATAGATAGATAGATAGATAGATATAGATATATCTATAATTATTATTTATTTCTCATCTGTAGGTGCAGTATAAATGACATTATGTCCAATAATATCCACTAATCCTGCACACTTTTCCTGTACTGATGTAAATATATTCACATTTGCATGCATATATATTGTACTTGGTAAGAGCAATGATCTTCCTATTACAGGAAATAAAAATTCAGGTCCTTGCCTCCTGATCTGAGCATGTGCCGAGCAGTGACATGGTATTAGACGTGTGTCTGATGTATGTGTGTTCATCTGATGGAATGCGCAGCCTGTGTGTGTGTGTGTGTGTGTGTGTGTGTGTGTGTGTTTCAGTCTGGGGGGAAGCAAACAGTCTGTCTTAGTCTGAGATGGGAGGAGACACTTGCGTCATTTCTAAGTCTCCCCCTAGCAGTTAAAGGAGAAATCGTTCCATGCGTCTGCCAGCCTATATTATAGAAAGACTTACTCAGCGAATGTCAATGCAAGCAGCTGTTATGATTTATTCATGCTGGAGGTCAGGCTTACTGTCAGCCCACGGGGGGAGGGTTTATAACTTGCATAATGCAGGCAGACGTACAGATTGCTATGATATGTATTCATCATCCTACAAATACAATTTTAAACAAATAGCCGGAATAAAAAAAAGTTTACAAGCAACGGAACAGTTTACACAAGGCTTCTCTGCAGCTTTATGAACTCCTTGACAAACTCGTGCCATGCAGTGAGCCGCGTTCAAGAAACCATCAATGCGGACGAATAACCGTTCTTTATGTCTGAAGGGAAAAAAAAAAACTTCCGTGGTGCCATCTCTGCATTTGGACTAACAATGTGATTACATGAAGGTTGCAGTAGGCCCCATCACAGAACTTTCATTTTTTGCTATAGCAAGATGAAGAAAGATGGCTATATAAAGAGCTCTTTTAGTACACCTGAGTGAAGCATGGGGGCCACCATTCATTTTAGTCGGCTGGCTGCAGTACATTGGAATCACAGACCAGATATAAGTGCTTGCTCCCGGTCAGCAACTCAAAGTGTGAAGCTAAAGCGGGCCATACACCTATAGATGATCTGCAGACTTTCTATGGTCAGATGGAAAAAGTGCAACGGATTCCTCCATTTACACTAAACTGTGTGGATGGAGGAATCTCCCGTGGGGCCAAGCTTCAGTATCTTGCTAGTCAGCCCCGCTGGCTCTCAAAACACCTGAACAATCTGATTGGATGCAGGGATTGGTCGGATATTTTGAGAGCCAGTGGGGCCAACTAGCAAGATACTGAAGCTTGGCCCAGCAGGGATATCTGACCATATAAAATCTGCCGATAATCTATAGGTGTATGGCCAGCTTAAAGCACCAGCATGACAGCCAGCAAACTAACATTCCCACAAGGAGACCTCAGAAGTGGTGACCTACATTCACTCATGACAGATGTTAGTCCAAACTAAAAGAAAAACCATCATGTCTTAAGAACTGCAGGTCCACAACCCTCCCTCTTTGCTCTTATTGCTAACAGCTATTCAATGATTGTTCTGTGTCATCTGTATGTACTTTACTATTTAGGTGTACGACCTGTGGGTTGGGACCCAGCATTGTGTCCCACAATACATTCTGGGGCTCTCAGATTATAAACTACGAGCAAGTCATTTTTGGGGTCCTATAAATGATGGCAGGCGTTTTGGGGTCCTATAAATGATGTCAGATATTTGGGGGTTCTATAAATAATGGCAGACTTTTGGGGGTCCTATAAATGATGGCAGACGTTTGGGATCCTATAAATTACGGCAAACGTTGGGGGTCCTATAAATTACGGCAAACGTTGGGGGTCCTATAAATTATGGCAGACGTTTGGTATCCTATAAATTACGGTAAACGTTTGGGGTCCTATAAATTACGGCAGACGTTGGGGGTCCTATAAATTACGGCAGACGTTGGGGGTTCTATAAATTGCGGCAAACGTTGGGGGTTCTATAAATTGCGGCAAACGTTGGGTGTCCTATAAATTGCGGCAAACGTTGGGGGTCCTATAATTTACTGCAGACGTTAAGGGTCCTAGAAAACAATATAATGACACTTGGGGCCTCACATAAGAAGGATAAGTGCCTATGTTGTATAACACATAATTGCCTCCTAATACTGATGACATCCACTTCTCTATAATGGACACTGCCAAAGTTTGCTGATAGAAGAAAAACATTCAAGCGCCATTGTGTTTCAGTAATGCTTGGCGCTGCAACATGAACACAGTGCGTTGTGGTGTTACTCATTCTGAATGGCACCCCAAGCACTTTGGCAAGGGACCCGTGTGAAACACAGTAGCTTACCCCCCTGCCTTCTGGTGCATTGCGAATAAAGGGTCATTTAGGTTTCTATACATTGGCAGCCCACCGTAAATGAATGGGCTGCCTCCAGTGCCACTGCCAAGGTATGGAGGGGCTCATAGTCTCAGATATCTGTTATCATAAATCCACATATTCCAAATTGGTTTTACAAGTAAAGTCTCAGATTTGGCTTATTTTATCATTGTTATTTTCACGTCTCGATGCTGAAAAAAACTCTTCATGGCAAATAACGATTGCAATGTTATTCAATTGACCCTATAGATTTAGGATTAGGGCCAGCTTGGCACACAGAGTTGTATGGAAGTGATAGAACTCTAGGACACTACTTAAAATTTAGAAAGTTAAAGTGGCCTGTGACCCCTTGAAGCTCACGTTTATGGCAGCCTATGTAGCAGCCATATTGATTATCTTTAGGGTGTTTTCTGTATATTAAACTTCCGTTCCTGAAAACCTTTGCCCTATAATAGTATTCTGGGCATAAATATATTACAGGATCGCTGAAGGAAGTGATAAACAAGAAAGCAATCTTGTCACACATGCAGGTAGCATGATCACCATTTGAAAGGCCCTGTTCCAATGTGATAACTCCAAATAAATCACTAAGAGGGTTATTCACTAAAGGGTGAAGGGTTTGGAGAAGACAGGAGAAGGGAACAATCTAGGGCAACATAGCTGAACTTGGAAGTGAGCTGAATTGGAGAGTTTCCAAATCAGCGATGTTGTCCTAGATTGTTCACTTCTCCGGCCTTCTCCAAACTCATCACCCTTTTGTGAATAACCCTGAAAGTGTCAGATAAAAGTTTGACCCAAGCATTTCAAAGTGGTATTTAGGGGGAAATGTGTCTCCTTCACTCTTCCTGTGCAGCCATTGGTCGGGTCAACTAAATGAGGCACCTGGCTGTAAAAGATTTAATTTACAGGTGAATAATTCAGAGAGATATTTAATGGTTCCTTTATCAGGAATTCAATATTGTAAGTTGCAGATTTGTGATACTAAATGTTGCATCCCTGTCAATACATGGCCACAATAACCATGAGTATCACAGACTTTGTGGGTTTACCTGCCACCACCATTCATAATTTGTACAAGTTATCCAAATGGAAAAGGAAAACATAAATTTGCTTTCATAGAAATCTTTTCATGTTTCTCTTTTTGTATATTTTCACAGATCTTCTTTTCCAGATTCCCCCAAGTTAATCTATATAGTAATATGCTGACTATCCATGTATATCAAAATATGAAATGATGTGTTTCTTATCTGTGTGTTTTCATTATTTCAGCTCGTTAAAAAATGGGGTCAGGACCCATAGATCCCAGTGAGCTGCTGAAGGGCCTGGACTGCTTGTTGGGGCAAGAGGGAGAAGTAAAAGCCGTCGATGGAATAACAAAAATATACAAGTAAGTACACAAATAAATATACTGGTGACACTGTGTGTGAATGCTGTGTTATGTCTCACTTTACTGGTTAGACTTACACCTCCCATCTGTCTTTAAGCTTGATGAAAGAATCTCAAAAGATGGTCAGTCGGTGTATCTACCTGAACATCATACTCCAGACAACTGCTCCGGAACTCCTTTCTAAGTAAGCAGCAGATGTGCTTTATATATTCTCTCCTATTGCCAGAGTAATTGTTTGCCCCATAATCATGTCTTCAAACTAAAGAAAGATGATTTTCAGATTGTAAGCTCTTACGGGTAGGGCTCTCCTTACCACCTTGTCTTGAATTGTATTGTAATGTCTTCCTTATATTGTAAAGCGCTGCGCAAACTGTTGGCGCCATATAAAGCCTGTGTACTAATAAGAATAATACAAATGTCTAAACAAAATGTGTGTTTAGCAAATAACATTACAATGTAGTTACAGTTTTAGAACGTCTACACCACTGCTTTTGAAATTGTCTCCACACCTTTGATGTTCACAGACATCTGATATTTAAAGTGGTCAGCAACCGATCAATGCCAGTCACTGCTAGGCCTCATAGAAAAGCATTTATTTATTTCCACGTGCCCTGTTCACGCCACAGGTGTGAGGTGCGGTGCCAGAAAAATGATGGTATCCCAGGCGTTAGAGGGCAGCAAAGTTTCAGGGAGTTAAATATTTACATACTATATAGGTTTTGTTAGCAGGACATAAGGGATTTGTTTTATTTTTTTAAAGTGTATTCGGTGTATTGCGTCACTTTAAATTGGTTGGCAAATCACTGCTGGGGAAGTCCAAATCAAAACGACAACAAAAAGAAGTCTCTGCTTCTATGATAAGAGTCGCTTCACGTACTCTGTGTGTATTTTCAGCATGATCCTATAAAGTGAATGGTTTAGAACATAGCATAAGGCACCATTCACACTGGGGCGGTTTTGGCCATGCGGTCGCATGAACGGCCCCATAGCAATGCATGGGATCGTTATGTCTCCCGCCCGAATTGCTTCCTGAGCTTTTTTTTTTTCCTGCGCTGATCAGCACAGTTTCCATACAGCTTTCAATGGTACCGTGCCGATCAGTTTTTAATTGCGTTTCAACTCTGAAACGCAATTTAAAACGTCCAAAACCGCCTTTTTAAAATATCGAGCGGAAAGCACGCTGATCCGCACCCACCCTGGTGTAAACGGGGGCCTAAATAAAGCAGAACACGTACATTTACTGTATTACCTGGGTTCTCCATTAACCAAGGGTTCTTACATATTTGTGTTTTCATATATTTAGTAGACTTACCTCCCTTTCTGAATGTTTCAGGTTCATCCGAGTTGGTGGATACAAGCTGTTAAATCTTTGGTTGACGTACGCTCGTAAAAACAACAATAGCCCTCTGCTCCATCAAATTCTACTCACCCTTCAGCATTTACCGCTGACAGTGGACCACCTGAAAATGGTAAGAAGTCTTAACCTGATTCTTTGATCATCCATATTCAGGGTGTGGACTCTACTATAGTGTTCTCTAATATCCTATTCTGACTTGTCTTTGCAGAATAACACCGCTAAATTAGTGAAGCAGCTCAGCAAATCCAGTGTGGATGATGGTATGACACATTCTTAATATTAGTAACATGCATTGGTCCAATGTGTTTTAAAGCGTTTGTTAGTATGTTTGCATTTATCATGCTTTTTTATTTCCCACAGATCTTCGGAAGATAGCTTGTGTTCTGGTCAATGACTGGATGACTGTAATCAGGACCCAGAGCAATCTTCTGCCTGTTGGTGAGTTGGTAGTTTGGTTACTGACTGGGTTGTATTTAGAGACATTGTCATCTTGCCCATGCAGGTGTCTGAGGGCATCCCCCAACCTCCAAATATTCACTTTTACCTGACCTACCTCATAGCTTCTTGCTCCTTCTCAGTCTGTGCTGAATTCTAGTGTCTCTGACCCATAGGACCAGTGACTTAATTCCCCTAGTCATGTGACAGTGCTTGGGCTTGCTGTTTGGCCGCTAGGCCGGGCACTGACACAGCAAAGCAGGTCACGAGTTTCCCAATACCCGTACGTATTGTGCAGTGTCACCAGCTGGAGTGAAGCTTCGAGGGAAGAGCACAGGTAAAGAGCAGGAGTATAAGTGTGGGTCGGCTTATACTTTGCACAACGACTGACAATGTTTCTTTAGGCTAAAGCATCGGTGAGCCAGTGCAAGTTAACAGTGGTAGCTCGTAATCACATTTTTTTTAATTTCACTGGTGGGAGAGAGCTGTAAGGGTGACCATCAACTTCTTGGAGGCATAGCCATCCCCTCTTTTACTTTTTACAAGTGAATGACTCTAGAGCCTATTGTTTGCTCTGCACAAAAAGCAGACAGCTGCTCACATAGCACATGACGGGATGGGCCGTTGCACTGAGAGGAAATGGGGCTAAAGTTTGGAGAGACGTTTAGACCCCATGTATGGTTTAGGCTCAATATGCAAGGAGGCTTTATACTATTGATTTTAAAGATCAAAGACCCTAGAATCACTAAAATATACAACCAGTATTGTCTGCCCCAGCAGATCTATTCATTTGAGATTATATGGCTACTATTAGCTTACCATAGTCTCATATTTTCTTGCTCCTCTAGAAAAAGAAAAAAAGAAGAAGAAAGAAGATCCAAAAGGACGATCTCCTATTGCTGATAGGACCGCAGAAGCCAAAGCGGAGTCCCGCGTAGAGGATCAAAGCAAGCGAGAGAAGCCCAAAATCCAGCGCACTACTGCCCCTAGTCATGCAAAGTTCAGATCTACAGGTAATTGATCACCAGCATAGCATGCACAGTACTGTTCTCCATCAATAAATCTTCTTTTATCTTTAACCACTTTTGTTCGTCTTACCCTATCGCAGGTCTGGAGGTGGACACGCCATCACAAGCTCCCATCAAGAAGCCAGCTATAGTTCCAGTTATATCAGACAAATACTTGAAGCCTGTTCCTGTAAAAAGGCAAAGGTGAGGAAAAAGGGAGCATGTCTCATCTGTGCACAACAGGCCAGCAGTTCGGTGGGTTTACTAGGCCTGTTGGGTGACCGTTCAATAATTTAAAAAGATTGTTTCCAAACAAGTGCATTTTATTACAGCAGAGTGTTTGCTTTAAAATACAAGCACCATTAACATTGTTTTACATGAGTACAGCGGCATGACTTTGCTTACATTTGCTGTCTTTACTCCACCAGTTGGGCTGTCTTTACTCCACCAGTTGGGTGTACAGCTGCATGACTTTGCTTACATTTGCTGTCTTTCATCCACCAGTTGGGTGTACAGCTGTATGACTTTGCTTACATTTTGCTTTCTTTCATCCACCAGTTCGGTTCCATTACCAAGTGATGCTGCACCTGCAGAAAAGAAATACAAGCCACTTAATATTACACCAAATGTTGCCAAGGAGATCAAAGTGAAGATAATTCCTCCTCAGCGTACGTATCTGAACCCCCTCAGAGTATTCCTCAACATTTACACTGGTTACATTATTTTAACGTTCACTGTAAACCTGTACCTCAGCCGTAGGAGGCATCCTGTTTTCACTTTTCCAACGCCCCTCTGCCGGTTGATTATTGCAAAAAGTCCAGGTGCTTTTGGGTTTTGGAAAACATGTCACACTACATCTGTATGGCGCTTGATGCCTGAGAGCTTAATCATAAGGTCCATGGTCAATCAGTCATGAGGACAGGGGGAACTGGGATAGCTCTGTGTTGATCAAAAAGTATAAAATCAAAGAAATGCCTACGTGCCCTGGTACCCGATCGGGGAGGCAGGGGAGTGCGAGGGAATTTGGTATAGGATAATTACTTTGCTTGTTATAAAGTGAATGTTTTGCTATGGGCATTACATTTTTACTTTAAAGTGTATCTAAACCCTCTTAATGAAAACTTATCTTACATTTCCCATCGCCATTACACTATCTCCCATCTTTATGGCTGATTGAGTGAAAAATTAGATTTCAACAAAAGTAGCCTTGTAAAAGAAGTACACTTCTGCCAATATTGTGACCATGCTGCCTTTGGATGAAATCTATGGAGAGGCAGGGCTGTAACCCTTGTGTGCATGCTGTCAAGAGGAAGTGCCCGCTCACCGTATGGTGATACACCTGTTCTCTGCTGAAGCAAAGTCAATGGCCAGCCCCCTGAGCGCCATATGCTGTGTACAATGCATTCTGGGATTTGTTTTTGTTTTTTTAGGGAGAGGTTTTAATATTTGTGTTTTGAGGACTAGCATGCATTTTGATCCTGAATTATTGGTAACACTTTACAGGTGAAACTCGAATAATTAGAATATCGTGCAAAGTTCATTTATTTCACTAATGCAACTTAAAAGGTGAAACTAATATATGAGATAGACTCATTACATGCAAAGCAAGATAATTCAAGCCGTGATTTGTCATAATTGTGATGATTATGGCTTACAGCTCATGAAAACCCCAAGAACCCCAAATCCACAACCTCAAAAAAGTAGATTCTTACATGCAATCAATAAAACAAGGATTGTACATAGAACAATATCGGACCTCTGAAAAGTACAAGCATGCATATGTACTCAGTACTTGGTTTGGGCCCCTTTTGCAGCACTTACTGCAATTACTTTTGCACGATATTCTAATTATTCGAGTTTCACCTGTAAGAATGCTATTCTAGTACTGTAATATCTCTATTAAACACTAGATGGTGATGCAGAGAACCAGTGTGCAAATGCTATTACCTCATTATGCTTCAAGACTAGCATTCTTTCCAGATGTTATTTCACTGTCGTGTATTAAACTCTTCAATAATATCTAACCTTTTTTCCTTGCAGCTATAGAGAGTTTAGGTTTCTTGGATGCACTGAATTCTGCTCCGATTCCTGGAATCAAGATTAAAAAGAAGAAGAAAGCAGTTTCTCCAACCAGTAATAAGGTAAATGCAGCTCAAGGATAGCGCTCCAAGTGGTTATGTGGCTTGCTTACTGACCCCAGGTGCTAGCTCGGTGGTGCTTATTCTTCCCCAATGCAAGAGCAGCATTCACCTTTATTGCCACTTGAGTGAATACACCACAAGCCAAAACACATCTCTCTCCCCCAGACCCTGCTTCTATTCCGGCAACACTTTTCATCCCAAAGAGGGCTTAATCATAGACATAGAGGTGGAGGGTTGGCGTAGGGTGTAGATATACATATATTCATCAGTTATCAATGCTCATCAATTATCAATAATGTATTTCTTCTTAAAGAAATATTGCACTAGTTGTGCTTGCTAATATAGTTACTAGATATGCTTACTATCGTTATTCCTAAAACGAATCAATTAAATATTTAAAGCTAATAATCAAATATTTTAAAAAAATTATATAAACACCTTGAGTATGGATGAGCATTAAGAATAATGATGATCAAAAGTATTTTTAAGAATAAAGAAAAAAATTAAAGTGACAATGAGAAAAGGAGGGCAGAGGAGGAGGGGAAGTAAAAAGCTAACCTAATTGTCTAGCCAAACAGTGAATTGTTTTTGTGGTAGCCTGGTATATTTACATGATCACCACACTTAGTGGGTCATATGCGAAATATAAATCTCTAAATACTCATTGTGTTAAAAGGCTGTAGTTGTGGTAACTCCCTCACAGAGTGTGTTTTTTGTTTATGCAGGCCAGTCCATTTGACGGCAAGCCTCAAGGTGATGCACCAGCAGTCACCAAGCCCTCTTCTCCAGAACCAGAGCCCGCAGCTGAGGCAATGGAAGTGGAAAGACCTGGCACTCCAGTTCCTGTTGAACTCCCTGAGCCTATGGATAGTAAGTCATCATCATTCTATACTTTTACACTCTTTACCAATTCCTGCCCTCCTCTCATTTTCTGCATTTCTCTGACATGACTGATTTACTTTTTATTTTGCAGCATCTGTATCTGCAACTACAACTACTGCCCCTGCCCCAGATGAAGTCAAAGCTGCTGAGCCAGAGGTTCCCCAACTAACCAAAAAAGGAAAGAAGAGGAAAACGGTAACCTGGCAAGATGAGCTCCATCTTCGGGAGTATTTCTACTTTGAGTTGGATGAAACGGAGAGAGGTACATGTTTTATCTAACCTCTTTAAAGCCGCTTAACAATATATCCTTGTAATCTGTATGGCTTTGTATAGCTTTGTTTGCCTTGTGCTTATAACAGTCTTTCCTTCCTTGCCTATTTACAGTTAATGTGAACAAAATTAAGGACTTTGGTGAAGCTGCTAAGCGAGAGATGATGAAGGACCGTCAAGCTTTCCAAAACGCCCGGCGGCTTAGTCATGACACTATGGAGGAAGCCACTCCTTGGGTCACCCCACGGCCCATGTTACTTATAGGGCAACTTATACACGTTGGAAGCAACAGCACAGAAAAGCACACACAAGCTGAGCGGGAGATGGGAATCCTGCAAGAGCTTTTTCTATCCAAAGAGAGGTGAGTATGCGCTTAGCCCTGATTTTTAAAAAGTATATCTTTTGTTTTTTTAGACTGTCGAGATTACAATTTCTTTTATTACTCCTTTTAGTGTTCCTGACACTCCGCATGAACCGGACCCTGAGCCTTATGAACCGGCACCACCAAAGCTCATACCACTGGATGAGGTAAATTAGAGTCCAGGATATTAAAGAACAGCTTCACTTTTAGTCATCCCCCTAATTGCAGCCTACCTGAGATAACACCATTCTCTCCAATCCTGCGATCCTTCCTCTAACAAAAGTCCTTGCCATCTCCTCTCTTATTGCACATGCATGCCACAACCCCGTTCATTCATGTGGGTAAGCCGGACTCATGGCGGCCAGCAGTCCCTCATAGTATGGCTATATGCCACAGGGTGCATGTGCAGCATGAAAAGGAGCCAGCCGGCTTACCTTTTAGGAATAAAAAGGGCCTCGGCATGCATGCTCACTAAGAGGAGAATGTTTGTTTCACTGGAAAGGCTGTGCAGCAGCGGGGAGGAAGGTGAATATATGAGGGAGTGGGCTACACTCGGGTGGTGGGAGGGGGGGCAATTGATTTAAAGAAAAATTATACAAAATTACAGTTCTTTTAATCTTTTAATAAACACATCAGAGCACTAATAGATTTCAGGTTAGAGTTCAGATCTGTCAGCTGGAGTAACATATTTAGTAACCAATATATTCAGAATTCTATAACTAAAGGGTATTGAAGAAAACTTTATTGCTTACATATCACTTTTTTTTTTTATCAATAGGAATGTTCCATGGAGGATGGTGCGTACATTGAGTCAATGGACCAGAGTGGAGGTGGTCAATCTCCAGACCTGTCATCTGGTGCTAAGCTGCCTCCTGTACTTGCTAACCTAATGGGCAGCATGGGAAATTCAAAGGCGCAAACAAGCCCATTGCCAGGCACCATGCAAGAGATCCTGACTTCCATCATGGTGAGTAGATTTCCATATTGTGCACCATTTGTGATGCATGGTTCTTTTTTACTAGATTGTAACACTGTCAGAAATATTAAGTGAAAACTTGGTAACCTCTAAGGCTCCTGCATTCAGCTCAGTTGATGTGAATTGGTAGCTAGAGGATATCGCATTTTGGGTATAAGCCTTTAACCTCGGCTCAGTAAACTATAACCATCGATATTTGCCATAATGACTTGTTCTTTTTAGCAGTGGCAGCCAACGAGACTTGAAAATTAAAAGAGAACTAGGGGTTAACCTTTTATATCCAATAGTCCAATTTAGGGTCACGGGAGGCCATATACTAACGTCCTCCTTTGACCCAAAGCTCAGTATATAGTGGGCTATTGCCAGCTATATACTGAGAGCGCCGCAGTTGGGGCGGATCTCGACAATACTGTCGAGATCCACCCAGCTGGCTGATTGACAGCGGGCTCTGCCTATCTACAAGCTGAGTAGTGCCCGCCCCCTTCCCCGTTTGTTCCAGTCAGTGCTCCAGGCTCAGAGAGGGGTTTGGGGGGGAATCCCTGCGGGGAGCAGTGACTGACAGTCACCGCTCTCTGCAGGGAGATTATCCAGTAGTGAGCGAGCGACGGTATGTGTTTTGATCACTTCCTGAACTATAGAGTCGACGTGTGACAGTTTCAATCTCTCACGTCGGCTCTAACTATGAGGATGAGTCTAAATCACTCTCCTCATAGTTCTCTAAGTCACGTAGCTAAAAATATCATTTATGGTAAATAACACTTGAATTGTAATGTAGTGAATTGAGGTTTGTAAGGTGTTTGTTTTGCATTGTCACATTTGTATTTATCACTTCCTAATTTTGATTTATTTAATTTGTATCGTGCAGGGAGCCCAGGGTAGCGCTAAACCAGAAGATCTGATGAAGCAACCAGATTTCTCAGATAAGATAAAGCAGCTTCTTGGGTCACTGCAGAATCAGAATCAGTCCCCGCCTCCGCCAGGTGAGAGGGTTTTTTTATGTGTTACAAATAATATATCAGTAAGCTTTTATTCTTCCTGCCAAGCAGAAGCAACTACACAGACATTGACAACACCGACCTGGATGCCTGCTGCCTCCCACTGCATTACCACAGGACTCCCGCTGTAACATAGTATTATTACCTGTCCATCCTGCCAAAGGATCCATTATTTTTCCGGTTCTTTTACAAGACAAAGCTGTCTATCTGGGATGATCCATTTAATGCTGAAAGGGGTGCTTGTAACAGTCACCTTATTTTATTAGATCTATTTTTAGTATCTTTTAAATTAATAATTTCAACCATACTGAAAGTAGATATAATAAAATAATAAAAATGTGACTGTTACAAACACTCCTTCCAGTATGCCTAATTGTATACAGTTTTCTTAAGTACATTTTTGTTCCATCTGCTGCAAACGTTCTTTCCTGGAGATCCTGTCGTAACTTCTGTTGCAGGCTGACAACACTAAGCCGCTGTTTTGCAATTAGTACTAGCGTTGTCAGCCTGCTGTTAGTGATCCCTTATATAGCCATTGGGCTGCTTATCAGGTCTGCAGATGCCATCTGCAGGTCTAATCCTGCATTGCTGTCTCTTGAAGGTTAAAAAAAGGGGTTTCCAGAAAGGATTAACACATAATAAAACCAAGTATTGGGTTGGCTTTGAAAACTAAAATATGGCATGTTATTGCAATTGACAGTGTGTGTGTGTCAAACTTTGTTTTTTTTGCCCATAGCACTATTTTAAAGATCTTTTAGAATGTTTGTCTAATTACAATCCCTTTCTCATCTCTCACCCAACAGGACCAGGGATTCCAGGACCCATGTCTGCCAACAGTGGCTTTCCACCACCCGCACCTAAAAACCTACCACAGCAGCCACCTCCACAACATTACCCACCACCCGGGCCTGGTGGGCCATTTCCAGGTAAATTGATATCTGCTTTGACTTGCCATGAATGTTTTTGGAGGTTTAAAGCAAACCTGTCATTTGTTTACATCACTTTTCAAAATAATTGTACAACTAAATTCTTTGTGCACAATGAACAAGTCTTCTCTAACATGGCCACTGCTAGTGTTGTCATTGGTTTGTGGTTGATGGGGATTGCCAAGAGCTTAGTTCCTAGTGAAGGAAGCCGAGGCTTCTGTTTACCTCTATTTAGTGTGCACTTGAGATCAGAGGGGTTGTTTTCATTTTGAATATAGTGGGGAAGTATTGTAACTCCGATCATTTTTTTTATTACTTTGTGTTCCTTCTGAGAGGATTCACTCTCCCTATTTTTTGTCCTGGCGTCCATTATCATTGGAACTGAAAGTATTGAGAGATCCAAAAATGTTTTTGTTTTTACTAGAGCAGTGAGGGAAAATCATCCAACGGGGGAACTTAATCTATTCACGACTGTCTGAGGGGATTTTTCCTCACTTTGGATTCATATTGTCTCGCTATCTGTTCTGTCTCTGACAAGACCTAGGAGTACTTGTCGACAAATGCACGTAATAAAAATGGAAGCAGATACTTAAAATATGTTTGTTTTTTTATTTATTTTGCAGGTCCACATGGACCTCCTGGTGGTCCGCGAATGATGGGTCCACCTCCTCCACAACGTGATGGATATTGGGAGCCACCACCGAATGAAATGCGAGGTGAACACCATGATCCTATGGTAGGGAGAGGAGGTGGAATGAGAGGGGATAGAGGACATCCTCCCCCATTTCATAGGAACCGAGGAGGCAGAGGAGGTGACCCAGGATTCAGGGGGCGAGGTGGAAGGGGAGGAGAAAGAGGACCTCCTGGCCGTGGAAGAGATGGACCACACGCTATGGGACATGGAGAGCATAGAGGTTACGGAGGAGAGCACAGGGGCCATGGAGGAGAGCACAGGGGCCATGGAGGAGAACACAGGGGTCATGGTGGAGAGCACAGGGGCCATGGAGGAGAACATAAAGGACATGGTCAAGGTGGAGGTAATTATAATTGCATTCATAAATGGTAGATTTATTTTGTCATTCTCTTGAAAAATATAAAACTCCCCTCACAATTTCTTAATGATTTATTTTTCAGATATGTCTTTTCGTCCTGTTTGTCGACATTTCAAGTACAAGGGAAACTGTCGATATGAAAACGATTGTGCCTTCTACCACCCAGGCATTAATGGACCACCTTTACCTTAAGAAGTGACCCGTTGAATCAGTGTTTTCCTGGAAGAAAGCGAACAAACTGAACTTTAATTTATGGCTTCTGTGAGGCCCAGATCTTCCCCTCATTATCATCAACTCTGACGAAGAAGCAGAAGATTCCGCCTGCCTCTTATGTTTGAGTCTATGCTACTTGAAAAAAAAAA